GGCATACAAGGTGTAGAAATAGTTCTAGTGATCTTTTGCGATAGCTGTACTATTTATTTAAAAGTGAAATAATTACCGTTGGCTATTTAATTCTGTCAGGCTAATTGCATTTGGATCTTTATCGATGGCAATGCATGTGGCCTAAATAGGAAATAATAAAGGGGTATATACTTTAAAAAAGCATCAACTTTTCATTTCTACAGCTGGTTTAATTCATTGCATATACTTTATTAAGCTAATATTAATATAGCGTTTACTTGGGGATTTTCGCACAAGAGCGATAAACCGATAGCTCCGCTGCCACAGCAAATATCCAGAAATGTGATTGATTCGTTCTCTCTTTTATGATGAAACTCATGTAAGTTTATCAAATCCACTAGCTCCTAATCAAATATCATTACAGTATACAGCATTGATTTTAAATGTCTTTTCTTATACCGTTTATGATACTCTATTTACAAAGTCTATTTTGCACTTAAAGGATAGATACGCCATTTTTTGCAATAACCAGTTCGTATGAAAAAAGTATTATCTTATTAGCAGCATGCAATGATGAGCGATTTGTACGTACTACACGTATAGCAACACAGTGTAAATTTTAGTCTTGCAATTGAATTAGTTTTCTATGTCTTCAAGACCGATTGGCCTATTTGCAAGCTCATAGTACCTCAGTTTCCGGGCGAGGAATAAAAACTGGTGGTTGCATCTTCAGTGTGATATATCTAAAATCCCATTCTCGGATGATGTATTGTACTGGCATTCTGAAAATTTTAACAGAGTCCATTGGCGAAATAGTAAGTGTTGAACTATAGTAAATATACAGCTAAGCGAGAATACTATCATCTATAGTCAGCATAGATTCTATTCATCTGCGTGCAGTATTAACAAGATATTCTATTTCGTATACATACGCATATGCATAGTTATCACCAAATAGAGTTTATAAAATATTGCATAAATATATATATTATATATTAAAATATGCACATTTTTAATTAATTCTACTATAAGTATCAGTATTAAATTATAGATACCTATCGAGCCTCTTGGAGCAAAGCTTGTTGAAAAGTTGAATTTGTTGGACAGTCAGCTCA